TCTGTGGAGAAGAAAAGAAAGGCTAGGTATCATTTCCATTGTTATTTTTTTGTTATCATTAGTCTCGCTCAAATGAACTCAACTTTGATAATTAAAAGTAGTGGACGCGAGCCGAGAATTATCGTAGTTTCCCGTTTCATATAACCATGTATTCAAAATAATATTCCATATGAGGGTTATGCAGTATTCATTATAGTTCAATCTTCATTTGATTTTTTTCTTTGAAAATTTTGATGTTAATGTATATTTTTTTGTGACCTTCGCAGGTATAGGTAGTGCCTTATTTGGTTATATGAAGGTGAATTAAACTTTTTTTTCCAATAATGTTTTTTCTTTCCTGCTCTTCAATTATTTAGTTTTCCTTCTAGCCTTGCTTTCTCCGTTATGGCAACACCATCATTCCGTGTTTGACTTGCGTCCATGAAAAAAACTCTTGGTCTATTAATGTCTCAGATCTGCATGCTTTTGATACATTTTCAAATGGTCATTTTCTCAACATAATTGTATCCTTATGAGTGGTGAATAGTGCAAGCTTACTGTGGAATTTCGTAACCTTATCTCAAAGGCTCTTTCAGGGAGTTATTCGTATGACACCGGTTAGCAGGTCCGGCATTGTTTTTCCTTGACTTCCAATGCATTTTCGCTATATTAGCTCTGCAGTTCGGCTTTACAAATAAAGAAAATATGTAAATGGAAAACGTTTTCCTTAAACGTTTGGTTGTAACTGAAATTCGATTGGAGCTGGTGTCTATTACATAACAATTCATTACTTGTTCTTTTTGTTCTTATCTCCTAATGTTGTTCGTTTCCTTATCATTCTGATTTTGCTCATTTTCAGAGCTATTATATAGTATGCGAATGTTAACATACATGTTCGGTTAGTTTGGTTGTGATGAGCAAAACAAGGTCTGAAACAAAAGTAAATTCTTAAAAATGTATACTTGCCTCTTTACTCATTTGTTTGGTATTGAAAATGTGATATAAAAATGAATGAACAGTGTTTCATGAGGGGAAGCTATAGATTATGACAAATTACTTGTAGACATTTATAGAGACTTGCTGTTGTAGAATTTAGCGGAAGTGGGAGCTACAAAATCAAGAAATGAAGTCTTAGTTGGAGTGGGGAGGAATCAGATTGTCAAAAAGTGGAATTGAAATGGATATTAATATAGGCTTGATAAGTTTTCATGTTTATTTTGCATAAGGGTATTAGAGGTAAGGTGGGTCAGTGGATTTTTAATTTTGAAATGTGTTGGAAGCATTAGCAGTATGCTAGGTTGGATTTTTATTGCTGTCATTCTGATGTTGTGGCTGCTTAGGTTGACATCTCGTGTCTAGTTTCTTTCGAGTTTTGACAAGAGCCCGTTATGGAACGGCGATATCTGCGACCCAATGAACGTTATCCAGTCCCACTGGATGAAAGTTTCTGGACGAATATCGTATGCACCAGTAGTACGGGGCGAAGTGCCGAAGCTGCGCACGAGCTTGATCGGATGCATACGTCGAATGTTGTGGCTGAAGTTGAGAGAGCTCTTCGAGAGAACAAAGAGAATATCAACGATGCTATCATGAAACAGGTTTTTTTTTTTTCAAAAATTCAAGTGGTCAAAAGGTAATTCACCAAAGTAAGCGGCCAGTATATTTCTAATTGCTCAGCAAATTTTACGACTTATCTCTTGCAAGATAATAAATGTTTAAGAATTGCACTTTGTACTTTTCTTGCGACAGAAATTCAATGCGTGCAAGTAAATCTGTTGGCATTGTAGATAGCACCTTCAGCGGTAAATGTTACGGGAATTCAGTACGAAAATTTGATAAGCTTGAGTTTCGATCATGATGAATTAATAAGACAGGAAGAAAATAGACGAAGACGAATGCGTGAAAGGATCATCAGTGCTGCACTCAGAAAAGAATAATGATGATAGATAATTTTTTTCAATTTGTTTTTAAAAATGAACTACTTTACAATATTGATTTGAGATTTGGATAAAATGAAGTTAACTATAAAAGAAACCCACTTTTGATTTCTATTTTTAAATTGTATTACTGTTTCTGTTTTTCCTCACTATATGTAACTCATGCATTTGTGAAATTTTTTTTAAAGTAATAAAGAGAAATGGTGCTCAAATTACATCGAAATATGGGAATGTCCCGTACGTATCTGACAAGCTTAATTTCCAACAAACACTTTTGCCTACTACAATCTGTCTAACGCAGTGTGTGTGTTATAGCATCTTTTTGAAATGTATTGATTGATCAGTAATATAAACTTTGGTTGAAGCATTTATTCTTTGTTAAAAGGAATTGAGCAATAAGTTATTGTATGTAGATTGATGAATGCACAACCAGGTGGATTATTCGGTCACCAGCATGAACCCGAACGTCTTGCGGGTGCCATTTCTCACATCGAAAATAAAGCGCTCGATGTAAAAACGAATATTGAGCAGCTCTTATTTATGCTTGATCTGCAGGAAGAAGTGGAATGGTATGTGGGATACTTTTCTTTCTGAGTTTGACATTTGGTTAAATTTAAGGATTTCTGTTTTGTTTTTCGTCCAGTCCATTTCCTACAAAGGTCCTTAATCTTAAAGCTGATGCAGTACGTTGTCAGTTAATTTGTGGACTGGGCTGTGATGTTCCGTAAGCGTGGTATCTGATGACTTTAAAAGATGCACTCTCTTTAAGGGTATGAGTATGTAGAGTTCGTGTGAATAAACGAAGCGCTATTTTTAATTATTTTATTAAAATGAATGAAGCGCTATTTCTGATTATTTTATTAAAATGAATCTAGGAAATAACCGTTTTTTTTTTGAAATTTACTCTATATATTTAACTTTTAAGGCCTGATATGTTGGACAAATTTTCATCACTTGCCAGTGCAATGACTCAGTTACAATTTATATTAAAGAAGTCAGCACTGCCATCAGGATTCGAAGATTTTGGGTTTTTTTTGAGAACTCATGTGCTGGTACCTCATTGCCTTTCAAATGATATAGATCCTAATCTTCAGGTGCATTTTTATATAATACATTTGCTACGAAATATGTAAATGGATTTCCCTTAATGTTCATCCAAAATGGGCGTCTCAAAACGAAGAATGCTGCAAACTTATGAAGTGCTAGACTTTTATGCAGTTTTTCCTAAGGTTGGAATAGGTATGCAGATTGAGTCGTTGAACTAAGATGGCAAAGAGGAAGTTTTTATTGCTTCAAAAAAATTTCTGGAAATTATTTTTTCTGAAAAAAAAAAAAACAGATTCACTGAGAGTTTGTTACTTGCCTCATGACCTCTTGTTGGATGCGTCTTTCAGGACCCTTATTTTGAATCAGTATTTATAGCAAGCCACTTCAAATCGTATTCACTGCTGGAATCATGATGCTGCTCCAGATTATTTGCGCACAAAATTAACTCCTGAAGTGGAAGCCGACGAATCACATATTGATAATGAGAAGAATACGCGAACTTTTGATCAGGTTATTTCTATATGCAAAATTTCTGCAAATTTTGTTGTCTATCAGATTCAAAGTGTGAAAATTTCGTCGAATAAAATTCTACGAAAGAAAGAAGGAATCAGTGCATATAAGTCGTTATGTCAGTAAAACTACTCATTCATTTAGTGTATCATGTTAAATGTGGTAAAAGACTACTGTGTTGAAATTGTGTTAAATTCTGACCTTGTTTTAGTTCAATATTTTGAACTGCTTAGTGCAAATGTTAATGGAAAGCGGGAAGCCAATTCCATAATTCCAAACGAATCTAAGTTGCATGAACTTCCATTAGTTTCTAAACATTAGAATGGAAACGTGTTATTAGATAGATAGGCGAAGAAATCCTTTTCAGGTAAATAAGCAAATATTGGCAATGAACAAGCATATTGAGACGTTGTTGACATCTATGGCTGAGAATGCTCGTAGTCAGGCAGAAATACAGCAAGACATACCGACTTATAACAGTCAGGATACTCAGAAGTTGGTGAGAGCTATTGTGAATGGTGAAGGACTACGTCCATCAAAAATTCTTGTCTCAGCAGAAGGTAGCCTTACAGGAGGCTCTGTCAGTGGATCACATGGAGCTGTCCGACCGCCAGGAAGTATAGCGTCTCCACAAAGACGATAATTTTGATAGCTCATTACGTATCAATTTCTAAAAGAAATTAAAAGCATCAATGTCCGCAAACATGAAATACTAGTCTGCTATTGCGCATATTTCCCTACTTTTCTGATGCGTGACACAAGATGCGACTCCCCGTACAGGCGCCTAAATGCTAAAAGGATTTGTGTCCTAAATACCGTCGGGTCGATTATGTTCGGTGAAGGAGCAATGTCCTGACTGGAAAATATACACAAATTGTTTCTCATCTCAATTTGCTGCTTGTTTTTTTGTCCAGTTCGAAGTTCTTGAAGTTTAGGGACCAACACGTGGTCCTCTTGGTTATCACTGATAAAATGCGAAGCGATTCGTATAATGTTTGTATTTTTTGTTCATTCACGTAATGCTCGTGCAAATGGTAATTGAAATTTATGACTGAAACATTAACTGCATATAAACAAGTTCCAAACGGGTAGGTAACGAGGGAAGAAAGGTAGTGTAATGTTAACCAACAAATATAGATCTGGACGGTTTTAACCACTGAGAGAGAAATAACAACATCAACAAAACATGGTACAGGAATTAAACGTCACAACGAGCATAAAATATTCGAGAGAGAAATAGCAGCTGTACTGGTAAAAGAAGTCATTTTATTGTCACTTTTTCTGATAAGCTTTCAAACTAACAATAAATTTAAAAATGAAGTCTTACTCAAATCGAGGGACGCAACATAGAACACACCATATCAATGTATATAGATATTAGATCGTGCGAGAATTGAAGTCAATCACAAAGAACTAATATGAGTTCACGTAAATCTGTCCATGAATAGCATAAGGAATTTTCAACTCTTTTGTTTTGAGATTAAAAGCTGCTTGAACGATGACCTTGAACATATACCAACATCCGGTTTATTCCCATTCTGTGGTGCCTGGTGGTTTTGATGTAAGGTCGATCATGATGCGAGATGTCAAAGGTATACGCTCCATAATGCGACGTACTATTTCCAATATGTTCTAGAATAATTATGCCAGTAATTACAATTAAAAAAAAACTATACACAAAAACATGAATAGGTACAAATTCGAAATCACATCAGAGCCCAAACAGCTATTTTTAAATGTAAGTTCACTCTAAAATAAATTTTTTAATATTTAGTAAGAAAAATTGGTAATTTTGCACTTCAAAGCCAGGTACAATTTAAACCGAATTTTGCAGTGCTGGTACCTGTTCGGGGATGTCTTTTCCGGGTAAAGCAGCAACACCAGTCATAAAATCGTTAGTGATAAAAGGACGAAGAACGAAAGATCGAAGTGTTGATGCTCTTCGTTCTAAAGGATCTCTGTCAAAATGAATGGGAATCATCACCACTGGCATCTAAATTTGTGAAATTATTACTATAGAAGTGTGTGTGTATGGAATCATATCTCATATTTACATCTGAAAAATGAGGAACCTGCTGTATTTTTTGTAAACACACATCCAGAGTGAGGTCTCTCTTACCATTCTCGCCCAACCCACAAAGGACATCAGAAGCTATCCTGTCCGCCCACTTTACTAGACCTACTGTGAAACCATTCAAATATGTGCGCGTAACATCGTTCACCGGATATTCAACTGCATTCCCGAAAACATAAACTACTCTGAAATAGAATCAATCATGTGGAGGGAGTTAATAACATTAAGTTTAATAAAAGCAGCAACAGCCAGAAATCTCATAAACCAATGCGTCAATTAGTTACTTTTTTCATGCATATTCAATAATAATAACCGGTTTATATTGTGTAACAAGCGAGGTATAATATGAGCCAGTCGTTCTAATAACTCCCATGGAATAGGCCTTTCGTTTGTAGACAATGCTGCTGCATATGCATAAGATCGTCCGTCACCTAAAATACTTTGTATCAGTTGATGAAACTTCTGTTTGCAAAGCAGATGTCCATCTTATAAAACCATTGTCGTTATACAACCAGTTAGTTTGAAAAATTTTTCAAAATGCGAAGATTGAAGTAATTTTGGATTAATTAAAAATTAAATTGAAGTAATTTTTGGAATGGGAAATAAAAAAAACAAAAATTTCAAACTAACTGTAACAAACACAAATCAATCAAAATATTTTCATTTCTTCTATTATATAAAAGGACAAAAGGCAAACAAACCCTGTACTCCAACTGACTGCACTGGCAAAAGAGTAGTTGCAATTTCAAAATCATGACCACTGATGATTTTCAAATCAGCTTTTGATAAGTGTTGAGTTATGGTGCTGAATTCTTCAGACTAAAACTAATAATTCTTCCGGTCTAGTTCGTAATAATAAATTTTTTTTTCACACTGTACAAAAGAGCTATTTTTATAATTTCATCTTTATCCCTAAGAAAACATGAGGGGATTCCAAGACCAATTACTGCTGCAATCGTTCTAAAACATATCAATATCAGTGAAGCAGTTTACAGAATGATACGCGTGTTTGAACCGAATTGGAACTCATTCTGTTAAAAAATTCTGTATAAGACTTTTTAATTACATAAAATGGATAACACAAACATACATCCTTATCACAAAGTGAAAGATTTGCGATCAAGTGCAAATGATGCTGAGTAGTAACGAAAAGATCGAAGTCACTAATTAATGGACGTTCGGCACAGACGATCCGAATAGCTAATCCGGGACCTGAAACACATTTCGTAAGAATTTCAAATATGAAATTTTGCTTCCGTTGTAATAACTGGAATTTTCTCCATCGATCAACAGAAATATTCGGTAGTACAGATAGCACCTTCTGTTGGATTATTGTGCCAAGCACGGCTAATAATCACTACAAAAAAGACCATGACACATTTTGTTACATGTATTCTGCCTAATTTTGACTTACATTGGCGACCAATGTGCTCAAATATCCTAAATGTAAGTCATGAATATTCTTACTTTATAAGCCAATTTATACAAAAAAGGGCGAACTCGGATGCTGCAAAAAGAACTGGAAAAATGAAAAACAAGTAACCCGGGAAGGGATGTCGGTGGACAACATGTTCGGGTAATCCTAAAGATATTCCTAATTCACGAACTTCATCCTTGTGAAAATCTTTGAGTGGCTCCAAAACTTTGCCCTGAAAATAAATTGCTGTCATTTGATTACAATTTATTATACAGTCATTTTTTGCATTTGAGGTTTTATTATCAGTCAAAGGCAAATACAGTATCAGTTCACTGTCATTTTTCATATTGAGGTATCCAAAAATTGATGAAAGCAAATCACATTTACCAAATCTCTTAGTTCGCGGACAAGAGCACTATCATTGTGATGGGTTTTAATGACATCTGCATGGGAACTAGCCAAGTGTGACGCGCTCTCAATCAAATCTGGTCTGAGTGTACCTTGTGCCAAAAATATATCCTTATCCAACTTCAACTAAAATGAATCGGTAATTCAATTTAAATTCAATAAATTCATAAGATTATCGCCTCTTAAACTTTAATTCAAAACAGTGCTGACCTCATCCATTATTTTATCTTTTACTCGCATGAATGTATCACCGATTATTTTGCGCTTCAATTCGGGCTGTATTGTCCCCATCAGTGGTGTTGAAAGTTCGTTTCCAATTTGTATTCGGCCATTCATAAATGCATAGAAGGCACTGTACTCTAAAAAATATATTATTCTTTATTTTTCTGAATAAAATAGCCATTTCAGGCACTTCCAGATCTTCCGATTCAGATCCCATATAATTTCATATCAAATTCAATCAGTGTTATTTCCAAGAAGCACGAACATCACAATTGTCTACTTAAACTATTTTTCGACACACAAGAAATGAGCAAAATATCATTGCACCAACTTCACCAAATTAACTTCTGGTTTAACAAATTGAAGAAATACAAACAGCGTTATCTGGACAAAAAACTAAGAATATTGAGCATGTTCATTACCATAAAAGGAAAAACCAAAATAAGAAATACAACATACTTCGCACTTTCAAATTCAATTCATTCAACAAGTCCACTACTTGATCACTTTCATTGGAGCGCATAAAACCGTTATCGATGTGTATAGCAATCACTCGATCACTTCCTAAAGCTTTGTGAAGAAGAGCAGCACATACTGTTGAGTCCACCCCACCCGACACCATCACCTAAACATATTTCTGGTGTTACTACAATTCGTAGATCACTAATATTTTAGAAAACATTTTAACATAAAATTCATTGAAAAATAACTTTTACATTACACAATATCTAATATGAACATTAATTGGTAAAGACTTACCAACACTTTTTTATCCACCACAACAGAACGAATTTCTTGAATACATTTTTGTTCACGATTATCAATCGTAAAACCATCAATAACACCAGCAATGCGAAAGAGAAAGTTATGCAGGATTTTCTTTCCAGAGACAGATAAATCTACCTCAGGATGAAACTGAACACCGTATAACTTCCGCCTTTCATCAGCAATTGCTAAAGACATTTGAAAATCTACACGATTTTCGCTAACAAAAAACATGGATGCATATATAGAAAAGCACAGCGCTGAAGGAGTGGCAAAAGTTTTCTAAATGCCAAATATTATAAAGTCTGGAAGATTGGAAGAAACCTAAACCAACCTGCAACAAAATTTCCACTCCTACCCACAACTTTGAAATCATTAGCTACAGTTTTATCAGTGACACTATCACCATGGGTTAGCAATACCTTTTGCCGCGTTGCAAGTCCCTTGAACAATGGACAAGTGGTATCAACTTCAATCTGCAAAGACCAAAGGTTGTGGCGACGTAGAGCTAACTGTAGCGACAGAGATTTTAAAGAGGTTAAAGAAAACTGCGTTACAACGTTATAAAAGCTGTCTAGTCATTTTTAACCTAGAACCTTTGACAGATCTTTTTCACACGCTTTGATGATGTATGGTCGTTATTACTACAATTTCTAGTTTTTTTTCAATAGCTACCTGCATTTTCAAGAAATATTTAGAAATACCTCAAGCTGTCCATCTTCCCGTACAGATTTTTTGGACACACATCCTCCAAATGCTTTATTTATCAGCTGAAAATAGCATTATATATAAACCTTCGCAAAAGAGTAAACATGATAAGAACCCTATTGAAATAATTCAATCATCAAAAAACTTCACTAAATAATATGATGCAAGATTAAATCCACTTAATCAGTAAAGAGATGTGCAAAATAAAAAGAACTACCTGAAAACCATAACAGATACCAAGGACCGGAATACCACAAGTCAATATGGAAGGGTCGAATTCAGGTGCATTAAATGAATTTACAGAATTTGGTCCACCACTCAATATAATCGCTCTATAAATAAAGTTTTGGGTTTTTCAAACTAAGTAAATATCATCAAAAATACAAAATAATTATCCTAGGTTTATTAAATAAAAATCATTAGTTATTTTCCTTATAAAAACTCTTATAAAAGACAAAATGAATTAAATAAGATAGCACCCAACGAGATGATCATGAATAGAGGCTTAACACGTACTTGTAGCATCCCTTCTCAACCATGTCAGCTGCTTTTGTGTTAAACGGTAAAATTTCGCTGAAGACATTTTGTTCACGAACTCGACGATCAATAACCTAAAAATTGAAGACACTGTGAGAAAATATAGGATTGCATTTGATAAGGACTTGCAAATGAATGACCTGAAATGCAATGCTTCTGCTTCCTGATCTCTTAGTAGGAAAAAGAAAAAAATATAAACAGTAGGGAATCACTAAATCCCAAAACAGTTTAATAGAAACAGTAGCAAGCAAAAAATCATAATGAGCTGCAACATCTTTTAACCTATGATATAAATACATAAATTACTTTAGTTTTACAAATAATATGCCTAACGTTGAAATTAAGAAAGACATATGCATTACCATAAAGAGAAGTTAAAAAAAAAAGTAAGACAATTACTATTTGCCTTTATTTCACTATCATTTTTTTGTGACAAATGCACTTCAATTCCAGAAATAAATGTTTTCGGTCTGGTTGACTTTTTACAACCTCAAAAAAACAATTTTTTTATGTCATTTGTCTGTTGAAGTATAAAATTCTTTGGATTTCGAAATTTATGTATGTATATTAATCTCCCATTTCACTACACTTAACAACAATCAAAAAAACATAAATTAAGCTACCTTTCCGAATTGAGCGCCAAAATCAAGTATTGCAACACCTCCTTTGTAAGCATTCTCTAACTTTGTATTATTCAGATGAACAGCAGAAGTGATTCCATTTGGAATATCCGTAGCTTTTTTACCGTTAGTATAGTCAACAGGCTGTACCTCCATGCTCACTGATGCATCAGTAGAACAAAGAGTACGAGAATCTTTGTTCAGTGAAACCGTACGTTGTAATGACGATTCCTCTATTGTTTTTCTTTCCTGTAACTGAAATATAAAAATCCAATATTTAAAAAAATGATTAAAAAAAAAAAAAAACATGGAACAGCAATGGGAAATTTATGAGTTTCGCTTGCAGTGTATTTTCTTTTATTGCAAACTATGTATAAATCGATTCTCACTTCTTTTAATGTAATATTTTCTCCCCCCGTTGCACTTGAAAATCATTATAAGTGTAGCTGATTTTCAAATCGAAAAACAATTCCGTAAAACAGCAAAGAAAGCTAAACCGTAGCAAAACGAATCGGCAGTGAGCATAAACCGGAAAAGTGTACAACTGGGAATATTTTTAAAACATTAGTAGGTGCGTACATATATACATAAGCACACTCCCAACAACAGTTAGCACACCAGCAGTAGAACTGACGCAGGTGATTAAGGGTAAGACGACTAACGCTGCATTCACAATACGTAGTTATTTGCCTTCCTCGCTCTTATATTGCGGAAGAAACTTGCACCAAGCACGCAGTTGCTCTTGCATCCAGACTTGCCACCATGTATACCTATCACACTGCTACGATCCCATCCACCAACAATGATCACAACTGTCCTTCATCTATACATCAAACACAAACACTTCACAATATCATTATCCAACTGATTTCTTTTTATATTTCAAGCTAAGTACTACTTAATGAAAATATTTTACGACCAAAATAATTATAAGCACGTAACCTAATGACCAGAAAAGAGCTCATCCGAAAAATTCATGAACCTACACGAAATAAGTGACAATAAAATTCACTGCGAGTTAACCACGTGAGACAACTAGAAAGCTTATTAATGAGACAATCAAATATGCCCAGTTCTAGAACCAAACCAGCTAATCAATATTTTAAAAGAAATCCTACCAGTCGATTAGAACACACCAAACATTATTCAGCAAAGTTAAAGTTGCCTCAACATTTCGAAACACATGAGAGATATTACCAGTGTGGTTATACATGTACCAATAAAAGTACTTGTACGTTTTCCATACTTATTAAAGAAAAGGAAACAGAATAATGACCATGCGATCGATACTAACATTATAAAACCTGACTTCTAGAAGCATAAATTTTTTAGAAATAAATTCCTATTGCAGTAGAGTTCTCCAATTCCCAATCTTTAATCCCACCATATTTCGACCGACTTTTAGACAAAAAATAGAAATAACCCACCAAATTTCAAATAGGACATAGCAGGACGACTCTGAATAAGCAGCACTTTTACACGTGAAACAACTAGAATACAGGGTATACTGTGAGTATAAAAACAAAAATATGTTCCAGTTTTAAATAAAGTCCCATAATGGGTTGATGTTTTCTTATAACCTAAATCCATTTATCACAAATTATTAACAGTTTGAAAACCAAAAAAACATATATTAAGATAACGACCCTGGCTTAAATCTAGCTTTAATTATAGCGCACGAAGAGCTACGATGACCACCGAAAAAACAAGCAAGAGAAAAGCATAAATTTTCAGATATTAGGATTCTGTTGAAATAATTAATTTAGCAGGTCACTTAATTAAACGACCACCAATGACAGACGCACACCAATTTTGACTTTGGAGCTATATTAGTACTTGATTCATTAAACATTCACAATACAAGAAATCATGAGACAACAAAGTAAAAGGAACTACTTTTAATGTAAAAATGTACTACTTCGACTAAGACAGTCGACAGCTTTCCGCTGTGTCGATACCCGTAGTTTTGCTAACCCACTTTTCCACATAAATGCGATAGTGGCATTCCACTGCATCACAGACCGGCGAATTTGAAATGCCATTTTTCATTATCTAATAGTCGCACTGTTACTGAAGAGCGTTCTGCTGTAACCAGTTTTATTTTTTTCAAGTATTCATAAACTTCTAAGGTAGTTGATTTGATGGTTTAAGGAAAGAAGATTTACTTTCAATGAATCCGTGCCAGTTGTGACATTAACCGCATGGAATGAGCTAGATACATCAATTTCTTCATTACATATGGTAGAGTCATATTTAGCTCGTGTCGCACCGCCCGGCAGTGTCGGAGACGCTGTTCGTTTCATCGCCTCACCTTCAATATTCCTATTTGTTTCACGGTGGTCACTGCCACTTCCAGGGCTATTACCTGATGATGAGGTTAGCTAAAAAATACAAATCGTTCTACAAATGAAATGGAGCTATAATTACAAATTTTCAAGAAAATACACAATATATTCATGATGCGACAAATTAGAGATTAAATGCAAATTATTTTGCAGAATTTGTAAGATACTTCATCTTCGAATCCATTGATTTTGAGTTGACTTAGAATTAATTTCAAGTGAAAAGAATGATGAAAAATTAGATCTAACAACGGACACGCAAAAGCTATCAAACTCTCTGACACTCCATAAGCAAAATTGTTTTGAATCTCAATTCTCGAAATATATCTACTCATATAAAAATCGTCTTTATTCGCATTAGAATAAGATACATATGAAATACCTTTGTTTTCTTTCGCAAAAATGGTCGTAAAATACTGGTGTGCTTTTTCGATAAATTGGGTAATGCCCTCGCCAGAGAGGACGAATCGCTACTCTTGGTACTGTCAAGTGTGTCGGATTTGTTACGTGAGGAATCAGAAACTAGACTGATTGGATTATTTGAGTCAAAAGATGAAGATAGCGAGGAACCCGTGTTCGGCAACTTTAAATGTACACCTCGAGGTGATGATACTACGTTCTCTCCCTGCTCACCGGCGGCAAAATATTCGTCGGTATAAGTGCAAGGCAAATTATGCGGTGAATGCTGCAAATAGAATCATTTCAAGGACTAATAATGAACATTTTCGACGGCTACATACCTAATTAAATCATATTTATGAAGGAAGAAGTCAAAAAACTATTTACAATATAACTCTTTTCAATCAAATTCAATTCAGTACCTTGGACATACTTATTGACATTACATCACCTTTACTTTTCAACCTATTACTATTTTTGATTTTATAAAAAAGTTATATCATTCTAGTACAGCTAGGTTTAGTAATGAAGTCTCACAATATTAAAACTGTCATCTTACATATTAGTAAATAATTACTACATATTCTTAAATATATGTTCATCATCATAAGACTTCACGAATCACACGAAATCAGGAAAAACAAAGCAAAAAAGTCAGTAGTAATTATATAAAGATGAAAGTGAGAATATGTACAACATTAATCCTAATATTCCATTATTAAATTAGAATTAAGAATAAAAGCGATTTTTGAAAAACGAACAAATCTAATTTCGTTACAATTTTTTTACAAGGAAAAACAAAATAAAACAATAAGAAAAACATACATTTCCGGAGTTAATACCTCCCGGAATTAGTACCATATCTGGAATTATTATATCAAAAACAAAGGCACAACTAGAATCCTTGTCTTTGCTTCTGTTTTTTAAACAGTATTTTTAATAAAACTAAGTAAGGAAGTCAGGATAGAAAAAACATTCACATCAGGATAAAGACAAAATATTCACAAAAAAAAAATGGGACCTTTAAGCATCTATATAAAAGCATCAATTTTCATAATAAATAACACCAAAATTGAACTAGGTTAAAATTTCAGATTTATCACAGGAAATATTAAGTAGATAAAAATACTTCAAATTATTTATTCAAAATTTTGTTATCAACATCAATTACCTACGATTTATACATATGCATTTTAAGTCACACATTTCTATGAGATCTTAATATTATAATATGTGCAGACGACATACACTGTTGATACTGAAGTTTTATTACCACTACAGTGCACGGCAGAAGTATTAGTTATTCTTTGATATTGGTTCAAGTATTTACTTTCTTTTATTTTTGCATTAGAAAAACGGACGAACAGATAATCAGCATATGCCTGAAGTGCAATGTGTAAGCAAAAATTTGTGTGCAACATGGAAATCATATCGACCGCAAGAAAGGACATTGTTGCATGCTACTTCCACCATTTAATGGAAAAAGAGTCGCGAAACTATCATTATTATATTAAAAATATCGCAAGGTTAGGTTAGGTTCTGATGATACATGTTTCAATCTTTTGCTAAAGCTGCAATGGGGCGCCAAACGATCAAATTCTATGCTATTGTCGAAAACATCATATGAGACGCGAAATTATAATGCAGCGGTATTTAAAATATTAGAGAAAAAAAAATGAGTTCATAATGCATCTGCTCAATAATGTTACATGCTCGAACCAGAAGTTTACAGGGGCACTTAAACTTTAAAGAGAATTCCCTTTGGATAAGTCCATATTTAACTGTTGCCGACTACTAATGAGTGATCTAGTTATATTTATGGGTGAAAACGAAACGTTCAACAGCTCTTTCAATCTATATAAATAACACACTGAAATATATAACACGAAGTACAGACGAAAAAATGTCAAGAATTAAATAAGACAGACGACGTTAAAAAAGATTCAAAATGCCAATTGCCTAACACACACACGACTCACATAAATACGGTTAGGATAAACACAAATACATGACTTACTTTGCTCGTTCGGCCTCCAATTTTGATTACGGAAGCCAAGCTGAATCAGTGTGTAATGGGATATATCTAAAAGTGATATGACAGAAAAATCCAGAAATCTCGTATTATAAAAAATTATGCTGCATTCATTTTGCAGTCTTTGTAGCGTCTACAAGCAGTCCATAGATTCTTCTACTGGGTTTCATACGAGAGACCGGAAGAACAACTAATTTTAAATAAACCAAGCCACTCCCATGCTCACTACGCGCCAAGCCTTTGCCAATCCAACGAACTGGCAGAAGATCAAGATAAGATTACGATACATAATACAACTACTCTGAGACCTATAACATGTTTAATAGCTATATGTTGGAATAATGATTCAGTACGATGCTGAAGGTATTGTAATTTAATTGTTGTAAGGTGTTGTTAACACGTTAATTGCCAACTTTGGGAATGGGATGAGCTTCTTTAGTCAGTTCACTGATAGATTGTCTTCTTGTCATTACGTCGTACTTTGACAACAGTTTGACATTGCATGACAATCAGTATGATCATCATTTTTGACACTGCATGACCATTAGTTTTCTATTCTCACAGTTTGTTTCGAGAGTGATTTAAATAATTGTATGTATAAGTAATTTCTCGATTTCTTTCCAATGATTCCTAAGAAGACTGATTCTTAATATAAATGCAATTAATGACGAGTTCGTTGCTCTACCTGATGATATTAAACATCATCAAGCCATTACTTTTTTAAATTAGCATTAAGATACTGCGAAGGTGTACAATTGACATCTGGTAGAAAAAATGTGAACTTGATTGGGAAGTCTTGGACTGAAATTGGGATAACCACTGAGATGTTAACACTAAAGATGATGTGATTCATAAGTTCAGTTCCAAAAGACGTGAAAATTCCCTGGCGAGTAGTCTCCGTTTTGATGAGATGAGACTATCCCTATCATTGCTTTTATTGGATGCTTCCACTTTTATTATTAACAATACAATTTGTTTTGCTGACTGAAAATTTTCAATTTTTCCATAAAAATAGTGGAGGTTCAAAGTTGTGCATATTTTTCAAAGATCTTACATAAGCCAACACGGACGCAAATTTCGAGAAAAGAAAGTTTATGTAAAGAAAATCGAACTGCAGTTCTAATTTGAAGGATGGAATTGTTAGAAGTACAGTTAGAAATCACTAGACCAGATCTAACACGTGAACATCTGTGACATAGTTTGCAGTAATGTTAGGATTTACCGAAGTCTGTGTTAATTGGAAATAAGGTCCTTCGGATTCACTAGATGTTTATTGGTTTATTTTTCTTATGTTTCAGAACCGGGAAACTTTTTTATTCGAAATCCCTAGGACGTCAGACCTGAAAATGGGTAAGAACCGTAATAACAGCATTCATGGCTATGGCTTCTTCAATCCCTCCGATTTCAAATCTGGGAAAGTCCTCTCACTCTCTTATTATAATAACCATTCAAAGAAGACTTAGCCTTCAACCAATCAGCTTGACTTATGTAACAGAGAGGAAGGGCTGCACGTGACCACACTTCCTCTGTTTACTAGCTGGAAGAATCGGGTAAGTGGAGGCAAAATACCCACCACCGTCTGTGAGACTTTGTAAACTCTGTCAATCAATTTCGTCTCGTACTCTTTACCCATACTACTGCAGATTTTATTGCTGAAGATGACATACCACCCCTTGTGAACTTTGATGTACTATTGCAAACTGTTGTATTTTACACCATGTAACCGAAGTCGTAAGCTCACCAAACAGCCCACTTTGTTGTTATCTACATTTGTTAATGATACAACCTTTCCCAAAATTCACAGCTGTATCATTTATTCATTCCCTTCCCGAACTGTTTCTTTCAGACTAGCTTGTGAGAGATAGCGAGGACAGTAGTTACAATTTTTACCACACAACCCAAATAGAGAACTTTACTAAAGTACTCGGACAATACTCAGTGACATTGTCGAATTATTGGCAATATCACTAAATCTGTTGATGATCGTTTCCTTATTCAAAAAATTGTGGAAGACAAACTGTTGCTATTTGTCACAACGGTTTTCGGATATATCTATATGAAAGGGTTGGTGAGGTCAATCCCGTCAATATTGGCGCATTGACTCATTTTTCTCACCAGCACTTTGTTTAAAATTGATTCACAGCAGTTAATTTCCATTATGTTTCTTTTCTTTTTTTCTAAAATTTAACTACAACAGAGACCCAATTATAATATTTTTATTCCAGCAGCTTGCTGAAGGTAATCTAGTAGCAGCATTTTTTACCAGTGAAATGGGCATCTCTATTTCAGCACTACTACCATGATTTGGATTTTAAGCACCGAGTTGCAATAGAACTGCTACAATATTGTAGCAGTTCTACTAATTATTCTTTCAAAACAAAACATAAGTATTTCCTCTTTCTTGATTTACTTGAATCAAATGTAACATAATGAATAGATTCCTTCATATTTCATTTAGTCTTATTGATGCATTGGGAATGGTTGAACACGCTATTAATTAGCATTACTTTTTAAGTCCATTCGATTTAGCTGGCAGTGTTATAGTTCATCTCTATGGCTTTGAGTGTTACAGTAGTCGAAGTAGCTCGTTTTGATCAATCTGTTTCTAGGGGAAAAATTTTTTTCTAAATAGCTTTATTCGTTTTTTACCGTTCGATCTTTCCCTGTTCTCAGTAGCTCTTACTAGTTCTTAAGTTTCTCATTTAAAACATTTTTTAGGTAGGTTCTAAGTATCTTAAATAAAACAAAATGTTTTATCTGCTTGCAACAGAATTACTAGAAGCAACTGATGGAAATAGTCACTGAAAGAGAGAAGATTGCAGGAAGTGTACTATTTCTCAAAAGACTGTACACTGCCTTGTTGTCTTTTCGGAATTCACTGGCAGTGTATAGGATTTATCTACTACCTTAGCCTTTGAAATGGTTTCTAAGCTTATTTTGCTTCTGAAGTATTAATGTTTAATCGACTGTCTTCATATACATAAGTGCCGATGGCAGCTGTTTCAGCCTTCCATTTCAAATGCGATATGGTTGCTTATCTCAACTTCCTGCAAAAGCAATTCGATGTCAATGTTCGACATCAATATTAGGACCTTTCTTCATTTTTTTTTGGACACAAGTTTTATCATTGCTTTTATGTATAATATTCGGTTTTCCATGTATGATATACATGAGATACTACCACACTAATTCATGATTGGAGTCCTATCTCATAACTTAAGACACTGCTTTTGTTTAGATAACTTGAGGCTTAGAATCACCGAGGCTTGATAATCACTGGTGCCGCTCCCAGCTTCTAGGGTCATACATGCCAAGAATCATCGCACATCTGCTGTGGAGATCTTGCCAGGTAGCGAAATGTGAATTAGGGATACAGTTTTCACAGTGGGGAGTGAAGTTTGGTTGGTTGATGGCCACTGGTCGGTCGGTTGTTTTGACGAATGAGGATGCATCGATTATGGATGAAGGGCAGTGGTGACACGAGAGCGCTGGTATGGATGGGTAGCAATGTCGATTGCTCCTTCTTCATTGGTGTTTATATAGGTGTACTTGATTATTATACCTGAGGGGGGAATAAGAGTGCCTTCGAGCAATTAATTAGTGTCCAGCGGTATTCCACATCTCTAATACTTGTTCTCTTTTCTAGAAATAATCTCTTCGTTTCTAAAATTTATTTGCTTTCGTCTGTGTATATATGTGTGCGTGAGCTTTCTGATAATTCAGGCGTGAATTGCTGAGTATTTGGCTGCTGTAATCACTAATCAGTGTAACTGTCATGTATGATTTAATTTCATTGGGGATTCTTCTGCTACTTTTTGGTAGCACACAGTCGCAGGAGGAATGTGTCACAGCGTGCATCCAGACGCATACCACTGAAAAGGTCGTTTTGATTCTTGTTTGTTTATTTTATAGTATCTATATTTCTACTATCCGGTGGTTATTGGTAAATATTCAGCAGGTTACTTCAAAAACCTGAATTAAGTTACAAGTTATGTCTTTTAATAAATGGACATAATTTCAGTCACAAGCCGCATGCAAGGAAGGATGTCGTCTGCAAATAATTTTTGCATTTGCTTCCAACAGCGACATCATATCGGCGAGGGAAGATTGTTATAATGGTTGTGCCAAGTCATACAATGATGATGTTGAAAAGCAGTCGTGCTCATTTGGCTGTGATAAACAACCAGATATGAAAAAGTCTGGAGTGGGTTACACTTCACTATATCACATAGTAAAGATAGTAATTTAGTATTAGACCTAGTTCTAGTGGTGGAGAAAATCACGCAGCAATTTTAATTTTCTACATCGCTGTTTTAGTGAATGCTTCTATTTTTTATTTTTAATCTATTAACCATATCAAAAAAAAAATATTTATTAGAAAAAATTTCAGATGAATGGTTTTAATTCAATACTCAGCTAAATTCAAGTCTTTTGTCATGCAAAATTATAATTTTAAAGCCGATCAAGCTTTAAAATATCTTTTATTATTAGTTTCTAACGTCCTTCTTTGCAGATTCGTATATCAATAACAAATAAGAGTCCTACATTTCAAGTGGCTCGGGGAGCTATGGCGAAGATGATGCATCGCATAAGCAATTCATTTCCATCATTGGGGTACTTTTATTCCTATTTCAAATGTTGAGTGTTAAGTCTTAGCTACCCAAATCAAACAAACAGTTCTTTTTGAATACTATAAACTAGATTTACTAAATTCCATTAATTTATGAGCTGCAAATGTTTTTCTTTGTTATATTCTTTAATAGAATCTTTCTGAATCAGTTTTCATGATTTGAAATAGGCACATATAGGAATACTTGACGAATGTATTTCCGAAAAGTTATTGCTACGAAACTTGAAGTAGATGCTTCTAACTTTTTATGCTTTGCTTAGGACTTTTTCGAAAAGTTTGTGATTTCAGTGATATGTAGTATACTTAACTGAAGATCTTTCCTCTGTCTACTTTTCTATCAAGCAAAAAAATTTATTAGTGTTGTTGAAAATGGAAGAATAAAACGGGAGCCTTTCAGCAAAGAAAAATGATCGTATGATATATATTGTGAAACAAAAGCACTAAAAAGATTTTTTTCTTGTGCGTTTATTTAGCGTAGATCTGATGTTAAGGGATTTAGAGTCTTAACTTTTTCTAGTTCGAGTATATTAGGTTTTGTTGGGTTTCTTTTGTGCAAATATTAAATTTCTTACACATTCTTGTTCGGCGGAAAAACTTCGTTTTGGTAGCGTATGTATAACTATTTTGCTTAATGATTTTTAATGTGCTTATCTTTTTAC